TCCCACAGTCTGGGTTTTGTTGCTGTATCCCCTGAGGATGGCTGCCCTGTTGCTGTTCCCTGTATTTCTTTTGAGTTCTAATGGCTGAATTAGTTCTGGTTCTATATTTTGGCAAGAATGATTCACTTATAGGTGGTGATGTCTATTTCTGCAAGGAAGTAGGCTTAGCAGCCATGATGCTCATTGCTTAGGTTCATTATTTCCTTAGAGGTTGCAACATGGGGATAGTCTGGCTCTATCATCCCTTCTTCATTTGTCAGCAGAGTACTTCTATAAGGAGACACTTGTATCAACCCTTTGTTTACCTAGAGTTACAGTCATGCAAAAAAGGCAGGATAAATACTTGCTTCTTTCTCTTATCGGTTTCCAGCACAAAGGGTTTGTTCCTTAGAACCGTCCAAAGGTAACCAATTTTTGTTCCTTATGATCCATTTATGAACTAATGGATTTTAACAAATTTGATGTGCTTCAATCTATCACTTTGGTTATTCCTACTGACTTGCACATCATCCTGTTTGGCCAGTGGGAGTTTCTTCAAATTGTTTCTTTAGAGTGCTGCTACCTGAAGTGCTCAACAGTTTTGTCATTTTCAGATATGACTAAATATTTCAGACTCGTACATTTGCTGTCCCAGGCCTAGAATGAGTCATTTCTCAATGGACCAGTTTTCTTGCTTTTGATGGGAAACAGTATGCAGAGACCAAAGTCTGAGTGCTCATGAGTTTAAATAATCCTAGAATAAGCAACCACAGTGAAAGCAGGGCCCTTGTTGGCACTATTATTCAAGCGACAAGCCCAGAACAAAAGAATATTTTCAGAAAAATATATGGGAGTGGGCTGAGGCTAGCATTGCTGGCTCGCCAGAGTGGTGAGCCAGCTAGCTGCACTGGGAGGGCTTCATCTGTACAGGATGGCCACTTGCCCAAGAAGCCAGGCTGCTAAACAGAAGGCCCAGCAGCAAGGAGACTGTCACCTGGGCTGCAGGGTGCCGGTGTGGAGCTGGTGCTCAGAGCATGTAAGTGCAGTCTGAAAGAGGAGGTGGCCAAGAAAGGCTGAGGCAGTTCTTTCCATTCAAGAGCACAAAGTTTAGGTTACTCTGAAAGCTCAGTGCACGACTGCCTGAGTGACTGGACCCCCCCCTCCTGTTGCACCCTAAAATAGGACAGAACCTATTTGAACACGCCTGATTGTATCCTATGTCCATCAAGAGGCTGTGTTTTATTGGACCCCATGAGGGTGGAGTTTTCCCTGCACAGATATCTCAGCTTTTATAGGCTTATAATATCCAGTAAAACGCAGTGTTTTGGAAATACACACCTAATACATGTTGGCTAGGACACTAAGTAAGTCCAGAATTGATCTTAGGTTACTCTGGGTACCAGCCAACCCTTTAATAAATTATTTGGGGGTTAGAAAAGAGGGTACTGGCAGATTCTGCATTCCCTGATGCTGCTCCTCTACTTTTCCTTGGTCAGCAAAACCTCATGCAAGATGTGTGAAATTTGCTAATTCAACACCATTGTCACATCCCACACAGAGTCAGAGAATTTCTCAATTCAGGTTTCATTGTAGCACCAGAAGAAAATAAAATGATCATAATGAAATCACAATATTAAAGAAACTTCAGTGTCATAAACCTTTAATTAGCATCCTTTTAAAAAAGTTAACATGTAGGGGTTCAAAATCTGTTCTGTGTTGGTTTTTTTAATGTATATGGTGCTGATTAAGCAAAAAAGCTCCTTAACATTTTACCACTTTCCTGGCACAATATCTTTTGGGGGTGTTGTCTGTCAATCTCTTGTGACCGGTGGTTCTGGAATAAACTTCAGACACTGCAGAGGCCTGGGCAGTGAGAGGAGAGGAATCAAAGTGAGGCCAAGATCAAAAGGCAGACAGCTCCAGATCCGCAAGGTGAGAGTGAGCCATCGACGCCCTCCGCCGTCTTTTCCTGGTTCTAATAAACACACAGGGCTCCTAGCCGGGCTAGGGCAGTGCAGAGGGCCTCGCTCAAACAACAAAGTCGGAAGAGAGCACTTAGCACCTGGAGAGGAAAGGCAGGCCTCTGTGATGTCAGGGGCAGGAGCCATGGGCTGCAGAGCAGGACCATGACCCCGAATGGCTCAATCCTCCTCCACCTGGGCTCCATCCTCCCCTACCTGGGCTGCTCCAGATAACATGTTTTTTTAACTTCTTGCTTTTCTGCCTTCACTGATATTTACTGGCCTTTCCCCATGTACAACAAGTACCTCTGAGGACTGACTTCTATTTCACCTTTCCCTCTCCTTGTTATCTGTTTCAACAGATGGCACAGACAGCCAACCATAAATCAGGCCAAGAGCTCTGAGCACCTCAAGTGGTGAGGAGGTGAGAGTGGGTGCTGGCGAGGGGCATCCGAACCCTGACTCAGTGATCCTGGCTTCCAGACAACTGACCCTGAACTCCAGCTTGCTGTTCTGAAATTAGTAAACTGACTTGCTTCAGTAGAAGAAAGTACCTTATGGAGCCTGTTTAACATGTGATTAAATTTCAGATGATCTATTTTGGGAAAATAACTTGCAGTAATAGTTTTTTAAGATATTACCAAGCATCAGGCTCTTTCTGTTTTCCATGAGGGGAAATGGGTATGGAAGAATGAACAAATACTCATTGTATGTTTGCAGCTGGGTAATTAAGGAATCTTAGATTTAGTGAAAACCACTTATGATTTCATAGGTGTCTGTCAACAACAGACAGACAGTAACTTTAATTTTGATTGAATGTACACACCAGAGTTCTTGAAGAGCCCTATCTCCTTACATCTCCTTGTCAGCAAAAACCCCAGGAGCCTGGGAAATCCTTCCCACACAGAAGTCAGATCCCTTCCATATAAACCTGCATTGCATCCTCTGTGTCGGTTTTAAGAAGTTGGTTTAAAAAAAAGTCATATTTCATCCATTTTCCTGCTGTCCTATTTTCTTTTCTGAAGATCCAACCCAGATTAGCACACTGCATTTAGTCATCACAAAATTGAGTTTTAAAAATATACTTATAACAACCATAAATGCACAGGATTAAATAATAATAATAAAGCAGCACCAAAAGGTGTAAGAGAAAGTCTCCTCCCCTCACTCCAAACCCAACCCTGGCTTTCCACTCTCCTCACTGAGGTTATTGGTTAGGTATGTACACAGCACATATGATTCAAACTTCATTTTATGGCAAAAGGTGGACAGAAAGGGAAAGCCTGGAATCTGATTTCAACCCAGAGTATAATACCACCCACTGTCTCAGAAGAAGTCCTGAGGGGATGATGCTGGTTTCCCCAGTTTGGAGGATTATCAAGTCACGAACTGACTGTTGGAGCTGTCTCACATACACAGACTGCTTCAGCAAACCAGTTTCCACTTAGGATCAGGCACATAGCCAGGCTCAGCAGGCCCATTTCCTTGGCCTTCTGCAGGGCAGGCAGGCTTGGGCCTCACAAGGGAGCAGATGGCAGGAGATGAAAGGCTTGGACTGAGGACTCAGGGAAATTTCCACAGAGGCTGGGGGCTCCTATGAGTCCTGACCCCTGGGCAGAGTGTCTGGGTTGCCAAAGCATCTCTGGCTGTTAAACCTCCAGTGGCATCCAACAGCCGGCAAACCTCTGGTTTCCTCCAGGCTGTCCTCCTGTTTCCCACAGTTAAAGCACTGGAACTCAGCCTGCACAGGTCTGGCTTCTACATGGCCTGTGCCTGGAACCCAGTGAGCTCCGTGTGCCAGGACAGCAGCCCCAGGATCGGAGAGGGCCTTTGCCAACTCCTGAAGGTGGCGGGGGACTCATCAGTGAGCACGGAGCCATGTCTGGAGGCCACCTGGCACAGTGTCTCTGGACTCATTAGGGCCTTGTCTGGACTGTGGAGTGTTTCCTGATTTGTGAAACTGGGGTAGGAATACCTGCTTTACGGGAACATGCGTAAGCAGGGCCCAGCATAGTACTGGGTCCTAATGGCTCCTGAGTTAAGAATGAATTAACAAGCCCAGTCAAATAGAGGGTCTGACCTCCTATCCCACTCACTCTCTGTCTGAGAAACCTCATGACCCTGCTAAGGAATGAGAGGAAAGGAGGGGAGATGGGGGAAAGAAAGAAGGGGTGGAGGTGGAGAAGCAGGTTGAGAGAAGGGCAGGCTACCCAGAAAAGCCTCAGGGGCTGCACAGGCGGCTGGGACAGTCATGGATAGCACCCGCCCCCCACCCCCCCAAGTCCTAGGTGGCTGCCCCAAGAATACTTTCTGCTTTGACAGGAAGGTCCATCGAGGATGAAAATATCCAAGCTCTTCCTGGGGTTGTCTCGTAGCATTCTGGAGTGGAGAAGCAGGTGGGGACTGTGCTGGACAAGACCTTGCCCTCAGAGCCTGCTGGGTAGTGACAGTGAATGGGTCCTGGAGAAAGAAGGCTCTGGCTGGGTGGGTGGGGGAGCCAACCTGTCCCTGGAGCCTCTGCCCAGGACTTGCACGTGCAGGTGCGGCCCCACACTGGCCCAAGCAGTTCTCTCTTTATGTAAAGTGAATTCAGGGCATCCAATTCCACAGACATCCCTTGAGGTGCTAGCCCCGTGCCTTACGCATGGTGGGCATGCAGAGCAGACACTAGACTCCAGTAAGATGGGCTCCTGCTCTCCATAACTTTATAAATTCGGGGGAAGCAGATACAGATGTGACCACAGTACACATCAGGATAAAATGGGAGCCTGGAACCAGGCCCAAGGGCAGAGGCAACAGGACCACCTCTGATGGCCCTTCTGTCCTCTCCTTCCCAGCTGGCCAGGGTCTCCAGAAAGGCCAGTGAGTGTTCACACACACGGCACATTTCCAGCCCTTCGTGCCTGGGGCGTCCTTATTCCTAGGCCCCCCGGGACTTGCCAGACAAGACCCCCACCTCGCCCAGGTGGATTCACTGCCCTGCATCCAGGTGCCTTTACCTGCAACCCCTCCTGACTCCGGAGGCCAGGGGCTGGGCTGTTGGGCCGACCTGGGACCGGGTCTAGCGCATAGCAGGGGGGAATACAGACCTTTGATGACGATGGTACGGACAGCGGTACGGGTCACTGCCCCGGCGTGGGGACACAGCCCTCCAGGGGAGTGCCCTGCCCCAGCCCCCTTCCCTTGGGGATGTTGATTGCGGCCGCGGGGCAGCGGGCGGAGGGATGGGAGGGACGGCCAGCAGGTCGTCCCCGCGGTTCACGGCAGCGGAAGCGATTACTCCCAGTGGCGTCTGGCGGGCTCGCCCGGCGAAGACTCAGCACTTCGCGGCCCCTTGATGGCGCCACCGCCCCGCCCCCGGTCCAGCCTATAACTGGGGTCGGCACGCGCCCCCACTCCCGGGCCACAGCTATGGCCGCCGCGCAGCCCCAGGCGTACCGGGTCGGGGCGGGCCCCACAACCTCCGCGTCCTCTGGCGTCCTTGCGAGCTTCCCCGCACCTGCCGGCCCCTCGCCTCCCAGAGGCTCGGCCGCTCCTCCAGCGCCGCAGCGCCGCAAGCGCACGTCGTTCAGCGCCGAGCAGCTGCAGCTGCTGGAGCTCGTCTTCCGCCGGACCATGTACCCCGACATTCACCTGCGCGAGCGCCTGGCGGCGCTCACGGTGCTCCCCGAGTCCAGGATCCAGGTGAGCCGCGCCCGCCGCGCTGTCGACAGTCGGTTCCTGGAGTCCGGCGTCCAGCCTGTGGGCGCGTCGCGGTACCTGCGCACAGGTGAAGGCTTCACTGCCCCAGGCGGCTCTCGGCGACTTAGTCTCTCGCTGTTAAGGGGTAGTAAAGGCCTTTCGTAAGAGGCCAGCTGGGTGCTTGACTGGTCAGAGGGCAAATCCTCAGGAGGAAGGTGACAGCAAGTCCTTCCACAGATGTCCGTCATCCAGGTCGAGGCACAGGTCGGTTTCGGCTGCTGCGAGAATGGTAGCTGAGCCCCGCAGGGGCTGGCTCACCAAGTTACTCCCGGCAACTTTCTGGGAGGGGATTTAATCTGGGATTTTTGCTTGAGAGGCTGTAGCGTCTGGGGTACAGTCTGAAGCACGTGAAGCTTCTTGTTATGGCTGGAAAATGCAGTGCAAGGGGCGTTTATGCCTAAAGCAATCCTGAGCAGAGCGCTGGGTGGAACGTTGTGGAGACAAATCAGCCCCGCGCCGTTCACATCGGGGAGCGGCCGCCTAGGTTCTTGACCAAAGGTGGTCTTCCCTAATTTTCCAGAACCATCTAGGGATGGTCTCCTCAGCTCAGCATCACCAGGAAAGGTCCCCTGCCACCCCTACCCCACTCCTGTCTGGGGGGCCCAGGACCAAGTACACCAGACGGGATGGGCCCCCTGAGCATCATAAGCCCCCAAAGCATACCCCATCCTGGATAGGGGTGCCTATTGCTTTTTTGGAAAAGTTTTTATTCTGGAAAAGTCTCAAACATATGCAAAAGTCTAAGTAGAATAGTACAATGAACAATCATGACCCAGCTTTAACTATTATCAGATTGTACCCAATCTTGCTTCTGCTGTATTTCCCACTCTTCCTTATACCCCAAACTAGATAATTTTGAAGCAAATCCCAAACATATTATTTCATCTGCCAGCATTTTCATGTATTTCTAAAAGACAGTATCTTTAAAAGTAATGCAAAGCTGCTATTGACTAAAAAAAATTAACCACAATTCCCTAATATTATCTCATCTTATGTATCTGTGCCCCAACTTATTTTTACAGATGATTACTTGCATCAGGATCCAAATAGCACGTTGGGCTGATGGACCTCTCTGGCCACTTCAGGTCTATAGGTTTCCTCTGTCTCTGCAATTTATTTCATGAAGCAGCCAGCTACTTGTCCTGTTAAATTTCCCACAGTCTGGGTTTTGTTGCTGTATCCCCTGAGGATGGCTGCCCTGTTGCTGTTCCCTGTATTTCTTTTGAGTTCTAATGGCTGAATTAGTTCTGGTTCTATATTTTGGCAAGAATGATTCACTTATAGGTGGTGATGTCTATTTCTGCAAGGAAGTAGGCTTAGCAGCCATGATGCTCATTGCTTAGGTTCATTATTTCCTTAGAGGTTGCAACATGGGGATAGTCTGGCTCTATCATCCCTTCTTCATTTGTCAGCAGAGTACTTCTATAAGGAGACACTTGTATCAACCCTTTGTTTACCTAGAGTTACAGTCATGCAAAAAAGGCAGGATAAATACTTGCTTCTTTCTCTTATCGGTTTCCAGCACAAAGGGTTTGTTCCTTAGAACCGTCCAAAGGTAACCAATTTTTGTTCCTTATGATCCATTTATGAACTAATGGATTTTAACAAATTTGATGTGCTTCAATCTATCACTTTGGTTATTCCTACTGACTTGCACATCATCCTGTTTGGCCAGTGGGAGTTTCTTCAAATTGTTTCTTTAGAGTGCTGCTACCTGAAGTGCTCAACAGTTTTGTCATTTTCAGATATGACTAAATATTTCAGACTCGTACATTTGCTGTCCCAGGCCTAGAATGAGTCATTTCTCAATGGACCAGTTTTCTTGCTTTTGATGGGAAACAGTATGCAGAGACCAAAGTCTGAGTGCTCATGAGTTTAAATAATCCTAGAATAAGCAACCACAGTGAAAGCAGGGCCCTTGTTGGCACTATTATTCAAGCGACAAGCCCAGAACAAAAGAATATTTTCAGAAAAATATATGGGAGTGGGCTGAGGCTAGCATTGCTGGCTCGCCAGAGTGGTGAGCCAGCTAGCTGCACTGGGAGGGCTTCATCTGTACAGGATGGCCACTTGCCCAAGAAGCCAGGCTGCTAAACAGAAGGCCCAGCAGCAAGGAGACTGTCACCTGGGCTGCAGGGTGCCGGTGTGGAGCTGGTGCTCAGAGCATGTAAGTGCAGTCTGAAAGAGGAGGTGGCCAAGAAAGGCTGAGGCAGTTCTTTCCATTCAAGAGCACAAAGTTTAGGTTACTCTGAAAGCTCAGTGCACGACTGCCTGAGTGACTGGACCCCCCCCTCCTGTTGCACCCTAAAATAGGACAGAACCTATTTGAACACGCCTGATTGTATCCTATGTCCATCAAGAGGCTGTGTTTTATTGGACCCCATGAGGGTGGAGTTTTCCCTGCACAGATATCTCAGCTTTTATAGGCTTATAATATCCAGTAAAACGCAGTGTTTTGGAAATACACACCTAATACATGTTGGCTAGGACACTAAGTAAGTCCAGAATTGATCTTAGGTTACTCTGGGTACCAGCCAACCCTTTAATAAATTATTTGGGGGTTAGAAAAGAGGGTACTGGCAGATTCTGCATTCCCTGATGCTGCTCCTCTACTTTTCCTTGGTCAGCAAAACCTCATGCAAGATGTGTGAAATTTGCTAATTCAACACCATTGTCACATCCCACACAGAGTCAGAGAATTTCTCAATTCAGGTTTCATTGTAGCACCAGAAGAAAATAAAATGATCATAATGAAATCACAATATTAAAGAAACTTCAGTGTCATAAACCTTTAATTAGCATCCTTTTAAAAAAGTTAACATGTAGGGGTTCAAAATCTGTTCTGTGTTGGTTTTTTTAATGTATATGGTGCTGATTAAGCAAAAAAGCTCCTTAACATTTTACCACTTTCCTGGCACAATATCTTTTGGGGGTGTTGTCTGTCAATCTCTTGTGACCGGTGGTTCTGGAATAAACTTCAGACACTGCAGAGGCCTGGGCAGTGAGAGGAGAGGAATCAAAGTGAGGCCAAGATCAAAAGGCAGACAGCTCCAGATCCGCAAGGTGAGAGTGAGCCATCGACGCCCTCCGCCGTCTTTTCCTGGTTCTAATAAACACACAGGGCTCCTAGCCGGGCTAGGGCAGTGCAGAGGGCCTCGCTCAAACAACAAAGTCGGAAGAGAGCACTTAGCACCTGGAGAGGAAAGGCAGGCCTCTGTGATGTCAGGGGCAGGAGCCATGGGCTGCAGAGCAGGACCATGACCCCGAATGGCTCAATCCTCCTCCACCTGGGCTCCATCCTCCCCTACCTGGGCTGCTCCAGATAACATGTTTTTTTAACTTCTTGCTTTTCTGCCTTCACTGATATTTACTGGCCTTTCCCCATGTACAACAAGTACCTCTGAGGACTGACTTCTATTTCACCTTTCCCTCTCCTTGTTATCTGTTTCAACAGATGGCACAGACAGCCAACCATAAATCAGGCCAAGAGCTCTGAGCACCTCAAGTGGTGAGGAGGTGAGAGTGGGTGCTGGCGAGGGGCATCCGAACCCTGACTCAGTGATCCTGGCTTCCAGACAACTGACCCTGAACTCCAGCTTGCTGTTCTGAAATTAGTAAACTGACTTGCTTCAGTAGAAGAAAGTACCTTATGGAGCCTGTTTAACATGTGATTAAATTTCAGATGATCTATTTTGGGAAAATAACTTGCAGTAATAGTTTTTTAAGATATTACCAAGCATCAGGCTCTTTCTGTTTTCCATGAGGGGAAATGGGTATGGAAGAATGAACAAATACTCATTGTATGTTTGCAGCTGGGTAATTAAGGAATCTTAGATTTAGTGAAAACCACTTATGATTTCATAGGTGTCTGTCAACAACAGACAGACAGTAACTTTAATTTTGATTGAATGTACACACCAGAGTTCTTGAAGAGCCCTATCTCCTTACATCTCCTTGTCAGCAAAAACCCCAGGAGCCTGGGAAATCCTTCCCACACAGAAGTCAGATCCCTTCCATATAAACCTGCATTGCATCCTCTGTGTCGGTTTTAAGAAGTTGGTTTAAAAAAAAGTCATATTTCATCCATTTTCCTGCTGTCCTATTTTCTTTTCTGAAGATCCAACCCAGATTAGCACACTGCATTTAGTCATCACAAAATTGAGTTTTAAAAATATACTTATAACAACCATAAATGCACAGGATTAAATAATAATAATAAAGCAGCACCAAAAGGTGTAAGAGAAAGTCTCCTCCCCTCACTCCAAACCCAACCCTGGCTTTCCACTCTCCTCACTGAGGTTATTGGTTAGGTATGTACACAGCACATATGATTCAAACTTCATTTTATGGCAAAAGGTGGACAGAAAGGGAAAGCCTGGAATCTGATTTCAACCCAGAGTATAATACCACCCACTGTCTCAGAAGAAGTCCTGAGGGGATGATGCTGGTTTCCCCAGTTTGGAGGATTATCAAGTCACGAACTGACTGTTGGAGCTGTCTCACATACACAGACTGCTTCAGCAAACCAGTTTCCACTTAGGATCAGGCACATAGCCAGGCTCAGCAGGCCCATTTCCTTGGCCTTCTGCAGGGCAGGCAGGCTTGGGCCTCACAAGGGAGCAGATGGCAGGAGATGAAAGGCTTGGACTGAGGACTCAGGGAAATTTCCACAGAGGCTGGGGGCTCCTATGAGTCCTGACCCCTGGGCAGAGTGTCTGGGTTGCCAAAGCATCTCTGGCTGTTAAACCTCCAGTGGCATCCAACAGCCGGCAAACCTCTGGTTTCCTCCAGGCTGTCCTCCTGTTTCCCACAGTTAAAGCACTGGAACTCAGCCTGCACAGGTCTGGCTTCTACATGGCCTGTGCCTGGAACCCAGTGAGCTCCGTGTGCCAGGACAGCAGCCCCAGGATCGGAGAGGGCCTTTGCCAACTCCTGAAGGTGGCGGGGGACTCATCAGTGAGCACGGAGCCATGTCTGGAGGCCACCTGGCACAGTGTCTCTGGACTCATTAGGGCCTTGTCTGGACTGTGGAGTGTTTCCTGATTTGTGAAACTGGGGTAGGAATACCTGCTTTACGGGAACATGCGTAAGCAGGGCCCAGCATAGTACTGGGTCCTAATGGCTCCTGAGTTAAGAATGAATTAACAAGC